CAGCAGCAGCAGCAACAGTACCAGCAGCACGAGCAGGAGCAGGAGCAGGAGCAGGAGCAGGAGCAGGAGCTGTTGCTGATGCTGGCTGGCGCTGGTGGTGGTGGTGGTGGTGCTGCTGCTGTTGCTGCTGCACTTGATGATGCTGCTGAGAATCATGAAAACGGGGAAAAGATGCTGCCTGGTATTCATATCTCCGTCAGTATCATCATCATCGTCGTCATGGTCGTCATCATCATCGTCATCATCATCATCATCATCACCATCATCATCTTCACCACCATCACCATCATCACTACCATAATCATCTTCATCATCGTCATCACCACCATCAACATCTTCACCACCATCATATTCATCATCTTCATCATCGTCATCACCACCATCAACATCATCGCCATCATCATATTCATTATCTTCATCATCATCATCACCATCATCGTCATAAGCATGACCATCATGAGCATCATCATCAGATCAGCATCAGCAGCATCAGCGTCAGCATCGTCATCGTAATTTTCATAATGGTCTTCATCAATCTGATCACAACAATTTGCGCGCCAAGACTTTGAACATATGATGTTCCGAAATTCAGCGAGGCTTCTTCAAGAGAGTCAACATTGCAGGACTGGTTGTCCATCATAAGCATGACGAAGACGAAAAGGCTGCAGTTGAATCGCTTTCTTCAGCAGCCAGGCCATGCAACAAGGATGCGCCGATGAGAACGAATATCTTTTCGCAGAATTCTTTAGTTCGGGTGAGGTCCCATGGCCAACGCTTCGTGCATCTTGCAGCTTGTAAAATTTAGCATACTGGGACTCAAAGGATCAGCTGTGAGCAACCGAAACCCAGCGACGGCCGTGGCAGACAGCCGCCTCAGATCATCGTTGGGCTTGAATGAAGCACCCGGGGCTAGCCCCGATTTGAGGACTCATCTGGTGGTGCAGTAACCTTTCGGACTGGTTGTCTTTCGAATTGATATGCTGTGCGAGCATTCGGGGCTCCTTCCCGTGGTTGTTTGGCACGGAGTTTGTGATCAACTGACAGGTGCTAGAGTTGAACTCATGCTGTCGGTCCTGCACACCACATGACCAAACCCCAAGGCACGAGACGCAAGACTCCGAAGGCTCCGGACTGCCCAATGGGACCGAACCAGCATGGCTTCAGCAAGAATTCAGCCGCATGACATGATCAACCGACATTTTCGCTTCTCCTTCGGTTGACTTTGCTGGGCATTGGTTCTGGGAGGATTTTGCAGGATGCGAGCTGTTTGGAGTCGGTGCAAGAACCATGCCGGTAGTTCGCCATCATAAACATGATGAGCCTCAAAGAGATTCCAGCACGGCCTTGCGGAAGGCTCAGGAGTTGGAATCTCGGATAATTCAGGGCCGATGCCTGTTCCGTTTCTGCTACGCCCTGCTTGCATGGTTGGGTGGTGAGACTGCGCAGACGAGTACGAAGATTAGCGAAGATTAGGAGCCAGGAGAAGGTCCTCTGCGTTCGATCTCTCCAGCCAGCGGAATTCGCGAACGACATGCGCGCTCATCCTCGAAAGGACCAGTCAGGTAGTTGGCCAATGCATACGCATACTTTAGCTGAGTCCAGCCATGGAAACGTCCTTCACGAGAATCAGTGCTGCAGTCCATGCCGGGTCGGGACCAAGCTCCGTGCAAATGCACCGGTCCCTCGATCTGGGGATCGGTAGGATCACCGGCTCCAGCCTCCACAAAGCGTCTGCTTAAGCGAGGGGGTTTGAACCTCCTCACACCTCGCCGCAGGAAAACTGCAAGTCATGCAAGGAGCGCTTGTGTCACTCGTCTTGATCTGCTTCTGACATCTCTCTTCCGCATCTGTGCCGTGGGCATTCGTGGGCCGAGGTCTGCCCTGTTGCCGTGGACCTTGCGCGGCCAAGGCAAACAACATGCTGGCGATAAAGAATGCTTGGGGCTTCGGTTCGCTCATCTTTCGGTGGCACTTGGTGGAGACGTTTTGCATGTTTTGTGATCCAATCGGAGCTGCCTGGCGGATCACCAGCACAAGACCTCAGACCTCAGCCGGGTACATTCCCCACCCAGGTCTCCGCAGCTTGACGCTTAGCCGCCACGCATCATGGACAATATAGACTAATGCCACCTAGAGGTGCTTGCGCCAGCCATGGCCCCACACAAGCTTGCCGACATTGCTTCGGTTGAATTAGTATCTTGGCTATGGTTGGACCATGTTCCAAGTTCTCGAGCCGTCACCATTCCGGCAGCTGAAGGAACCAGCGGAGGATGTGCCAGCAGTTTGCTGCTCTACAGGCTGCAAGAGTCACCCCCCCCCCTATGCGGTTGCTGTGCTGTGTCCGCATGACAGGCCGGGAGCTTGCTCGGGAGATGGACAGGTGCCTTGTCGATTCAAGTTCCGTCGTCAAGAAGAGGTCTGCAGCCGGTGCACAGGTTGCAGCGATCCCTGGAGAAGCGAGATGCCACTTGGATGCAGGAGGGAGAGTCGAAATGCAAGCGAGTAGATGCCAACGCAGGACTGGGCCGAGCGCTGCCGCGCTCTGAAGAGACTGCAAGGTTTAGACGCCCGGCTCGAGTAAGGATCTTGTCGTTCCGATCCCTTTGGTGAGATGCTCACCGCTTGTCGATGTCTTCCCGAGGTGATGGGCAGCTCGCAGCTGGAGGGTTTCGTGCCCGCTTTGCTGCGGTTGCGGGAGCTGCTCTTGGCGCAGGCTCTGGATGCCGTCGGATGCCGTCAGCAGTCGCAGCAGTCGCAAGTCCTGGACTGCGCTTCAGGTCACCGACCTCCGCTCAGCGCTGGTCCGCGAGGCCTTGCCTGGCCGCGTGCGCTTTCCGATGGTCACTGCGCCGTCCGACGATTTCTGTCGCCTTGAGGCCTGCGTGGCCCTGCGGCTGCTTGCCGAGGCGTCGCCTGGCCGGCACGGCGTTTTGCAGTGTGTCCGGCCACCGCGTCTTGATGCTTTTGCTGTGGTTTGGGCGCCTGCAGCGCATGCAGCACTCTTGGTTTCAAGGTTTGGCGGCGAGATCGAGGTGCTGGCTGCGGCTGCTCTTCCTGTTCGCTAGCTGCAACTACGGCGCATCGCAGCACGCCTGGCGTGGCACCCGCGGTTTCACCAGACTCCTGCATCCGCCCCGAGGTGCTTCTGCGCAGCACGTCCGTAACAATCCTGGTCATTGCAGAAAGCTGCTGCGCAGCCGCAGTTTCTCTCATCCATGTCTGGTGCATACAACAGTGCATACAGTGCATTCAGTGAGAGCAGAGTCAACTCTTAAGGCTTCCGCTGCGCTTGCGCCATCGTCGGAGCCTGTCAGGCCCCGCGAGTTGTCCAGGCGCCCTTTCTAGAGCCGACGCGACAAGATGCCCTCTATCTTCGCATTGTACTTGCCCGACCCTTTCAGAGGCACTTCTGGAGCCTGTGCACCTTGGCTCGGACTGGGTACCAGAAAGCCTCGGGCTCAACAAGAAAATGCCAGCCGTCTTTCTGTCTACCCTGCCAAGGAGTGCGCGCAGTGGTGTGCAGCGTCATCGCGGGCTGCAGGCCGGCTGTTGAGGCTTAATTGGGTTCATTATTCTGGGTTATTCGACCGCCACCTGCCGCAACCACTATACTTTCGTATGACAGGTATGATGAGGCATGATGCGCATAGTTATTGACTACGCGGTTGGCAGAATCTCTGCAGCTGCCGTGTTTGCTTCTAGTGGAGAGACTCGACTTAATGGCTTCCCCGCATGCACCAGACTTGCAATAGAGTCAAAACTTCGTGCCGTACGGATGCTACAACTGCCGGGCTGCATGAACTGCTAGAGTGTTGTAGTTTTGATAAGACACGGGTGATGGAGTCTCCAAGCCCAACCTGGGAGCGAGACAAATCGTTTTGGGAGGTGCTCCTGCTGGCTCTGCAGAGCCATCCGACGGAGCGGCTTGAGCGTCTGGCCGAACCGCTGCAGAAGGCCGCTTGAAGCTGCGTGTTCTATTTTAAGCTGCTGTACTCCACACTAGTCTGGTCTGTTCGAAGCTATTACGTCGTCGCAGTCCGAGTCGTTTTCGTAAGCGTGGTCGTATGGGTCCTTTCACCCTTGACTACCAGTGACTACTTTGGCAGGCCATCCGTGATGGTCTCGAAGATGCACGTGAAGAGGCCGGGCGGCCCTGTGTTGAGTACAACTAGACAAGCCATGACAAGCCCACAACGCCCAGAGGGAGAGGGAGCTTGGATGCTTCGACTCCGAATCCCAAAATTGCCGCTTCGACTTTCTGAAAGTTGAAAGAGAGGCCAACAATCAGTTGTTTTATCTCCGTCTACAGAGCGCGGATTTTGGAGGTCCGTGGCTCGGCCCGGCAGTGCTTCTGGGCCTTCACGCAGAAGTTCGAGGAGTTGCCAGTCGATGATTCCGATGCCAGCTTTTGGGATCTTTCGTGCATCTGCCAGGAACGGGGCCTTCGATTTCTGGCCCTTCTGGATCCTGCAAGGTCATTGTATGTCACTGTACCGTTAGTGCAGTGTGTGGCAGAGCAGAGGACATGTTCGTGAACATTCTTGTTTCTTGAGGCAGCGCCAGCTCAAGGCAGAGGCCCCGACAGGCGAAGGCGAGAATCGTGAGTCCGGGCGCATGCGCTCGTAGAATTCGCACCCAAACAAAGATCAGTGCGCATGACTTTGCGCAGCACAGCCGCATCCGTACCATGCCGTTCAGCTCGTCCCAGAACTATTCTCAGAGCCTTATGACCCTCGAACATCGAGACCAGGAATTGCTTGCCAGAACTGTTGATCCGCGGCAAGCAACGAAGAGGGACCGGATGCTGCCATGTCAACTCCCTAAAGGCAAGCCCTGCTCAAGTAAACGTTTCAGCCACAGCGTGCCGCGACTTCAGGGCTTCGGCGAAGCCCTGGTGGGCCGAAAGCCGCGACGTCCCTGCGGGCCAGGCCTTGGGCTCAAGGGCTTTGTGGGCTCCGTGACCTCTTCCCTCGTGGTTTCAAGGGCCCAAGCTTGTCAGTTGGAAAGGTCGGCCTCGCAGAAGCGCGCCGCGGACAACGAGGCAGAGACTGCAATGAGGGCCTCATGTCGGCAAATCCATGTAAATCCAGTTCTGTTCAGCCACATCATGGCGTGGCCATCTGCAGGCCCAACGGCGACCGCTGCATCACGGCAGAACCCTGTAGCACCGTTTAGCACTGCAGGTAGAGCTTTCTGTGACAGTTGAGATCGAAGCGGAAGCAGAGAAGTACCGATGGCCTATAGTACGAGAGAGAGAGGGAGAGGGAGAGCGAGAGAGAGAGAGAGAAAGCCACCCACTAAGGCATCTCGCTACGTCCTTAATCTTGCCTTGTTTGCTTGCCTACAACTGCGAGTTTGCCTTAGTGGAGTGTGCGCGCGCGGCGTTGGGGGGGCAACCCCTTGCGCCACAACCCTGACGAAAGAAAGAGAGAAAAAGGCGTTGCCACCCCAATTCGAGCGGATACCTTTTCAACAAACTTGTCTTTCCACACTGTGTTTCTGTGCCAGGCAGTGATAGCAGCCTTTATGTGGCATGCGGCATGCCAATTAAAACACGCCTCTCTGCAACTGTCGGGGGCGCTAACGCGCGCGGGCAAGGGGAGCAATCCCCTTGTCCCTAGCCCTGGCGAAAGAAAGAAAGAGAGAGAGAGAGAGAGAGGAGGGTTAACTCAGTTAGCCTGGACCCGACGGAAGGAAGGAAGGAAGGAAGGAAGGAAGGAAGGAAGGAAGGAAGGAAGGAAGGAAGGAAGGAAGGAAGGAAGGAAGGAAACTACTTTCGTGTACTTGTGCGCACAGTGCGGTCAGCCCCATTGTGTCAAGAGCTGACCGGTCGTCAGACTTGAGACACTCGCGAAAACTAGCGAGATTCAGAACCAAGGGCTGATGTGACAGCTTCGACGTCGCAAGAGAAGAGGCACCAGCACAGTCCTAGAAATCTAGGGTGCAGGTGACGCCGCGAGCTGCAAGACTTCGCGAGTTCTGCCAGCGGCGCCTGCGTCTTGTCGCCTTGAATCGAGGATGCTGCTTCGATCCGCCTCCCAGAAGCTCATGGCCAAGGACCTGCAGCGACGGGAACTGTGGGAGCAGACGGTTCCTCTGCATTGCAGTTAAGGCAAGTGGGCTTGACACGTCGCTTGCCACGTTTTGGAAAGTCTCGCTGACCCAGGGGGAATCTTGCGAACATGTCATCGGGTTCCAAAGTGGCAATGTGTCCTGCAAGGACCGGCAGCCGATATCGGATCTGAGCAAGCAGAGACCGCAGAGAAGTTCCGCAGGAAAACTCGAGGGAGGACCGCATCCAACGATGCATTTCGGCGAAGTTCAGCCGACCGCGTTCAGGAGAGAGCGAGATCCAGCCGTCAGCGCAGCGAGCGCCGCAGCGACTGCCCTCCGAGCCCGAAGCCGAGCCTCGCGGCCCGGAGGCGACTGCGACTGTGCGCGTCAGAGCTCTCTCTCTCTCTCTCTGTCTGTGCTTTGTTGTCCGAAGTTCGTCGGCTCTCCTAACGAGGAGGCTTGGCCGTCCTCTCCGTCCCCGCGGCACGCCAGAGCTGAGCCTGCAGCGGAGCCGAAGGCTGCCATACTCACCATGTTGAGGTTCTTCACAAGAGCCTGCAGATCAAGCATTGCCCAGGCAGAATGGCCGCCCTCCATGGAGCAGCTGGTCGATGCCTGCTTGAAAGGCAGTGGCGCCGACGCGACTGCCTTACAAGCAGTAGCCTGTTGTCCCAATGTGCCGCGAAAGCCACAAAGGGAAACGAAAGCGAACCAGTCAAGGCCCTCGTGGAAGCGCTGCAGCCAGAGAAGCTTCTTCCACAGCAGGAAAGTGCCGCATATTGCTGGTGTGTTTTTGGACGAGAACGAAGACTGCGTCTGGATGCAACATCACTTCTCAAGAGCTGTGTGAACCCGACTCCAAAGTTCCGTGGCCTCAAACACACTCTCGCCCCGCCCTGACCCGAGGGTCCAGCCCGAGGCCACAGGCGCGGCCCAAGGCCTCTCATGCGCTGCGGGCCCTGCACATGGCACTCCTTGAGGTCGTTCCGGGGTTCTGGAAGCATGTGGCAGGAGTCAACAGACCCGTGTATTTCAGTGATTCGCCTGCCATGTCCTGTCATAGCCTGGATCCACAAGGTTTAGGACGTGTGCGAGGCGAACGGGCCTGCCGCGCAATTGGCTGCGGTGGAGCTGCTCGATAGACTTCTCACTGGGTCGGAGTGGCCTTGGCTGCACCTAACTGCGTTCCGGATACCATAAGGGCCCCTGTGAGCACAGCTTGAGGATGCTTTCGTGAGCTTTCTGCATGTCCAGCGTCTAGCGGAGCAGCTCGAGGCTGGTCCGAGACGCCATCGCCGATAAGTGCGTGGCTGCTCCCCTCATGGCTGCACTGGCACGATGTGCCGTGGCACACAGAGCTGCAAAAAGGGTTCTCGGCAGGCAGGGTGCACTGGATTCCTCTTACGTCTCGAATTCTTCCTCCCAAGTGCACGATGATCCGGGAGGTGGTTCGTTTGCGACGAGCCGCGACTTGGCACAGAACGAGGGTGGGATGGGTCGACATGATTCGGGGTGATGTTAATTATTTGGTGCTGGCATCCAGGTTTGATGCCATACCATGGCGGCTTTGAGGCCCCCACCGCCGGCACCGTCACCAAAGCCGAACGCGGCGGGCCTGCCATTGCGCCGAGGCCGAGAAGCAAAGCGGCAGTGATGGGGTACGGGGTTTGGTTTAAGCTACATTGTCACCCTGAAGAATCGTGGGCATCACAGCTCGTTCCGTTACATGGTCTTGGCCTCGGCAAAGGATCAACAAACAGCGACTCTGTGATTCTTCGGGAATCTCAGCTTGCAAGACAAGCTATCTGTAAAGTTAAACACAAAAGGCAAAGTCGGCACCTTTGTTCCGATGGAAACCGACATTTGCAAACACGTTCGCAAATCCTTAGAGCAGAGATTTCGTGCGTGAGGTGATTTATGGGACACTGTCATGAGTGTATATTTGTACAGGGACCTCTGCCAGGACGCGTGCAGCCAGAGTCGTCGGAGAAGGAGGCACCACGCGGTGTGGAGGGTTTGGGTGGGTTGAACGTCATGCACAGATACACGAGACAGGGGAGAACCCGTAAGGCTCTTCTCAAGATTCTCAGGTGCTGTCTAAGCAGATACAGCCCTGGGCCCTGGGCCTCTGAGACAGGGACGCCCTGCAGGCGCTTCCTTCGCTGACGGCGCTGCTGGCTTCGCGCCCTTGCACCGAGGTGGGCCACGTTGCAGCAGGTGACTAGTCACGAGGCCCATCTAGGCTCTAGGCCCTAGGCCCCAGGCTTTGAAGCCTCGGAGAAGAGGCGTCGACCTTGCGGGCCCTGGCTGCTGCTGCGAAGGTACTCCCCTCGGTTCAAGGCAGGTCAAGGCTCAAGGTGTGACGAGGTCCTGTCTGCAACCCTTTCCGTCAAGCAGCCGAGGCAGAAGACGAGGAGACGTGGAGAAGTCAAGGCTGGGTGAAGCAAAAGCAGGACGGAATCTGAAGTCTACTGCCTACTACCTATAACATGTTGCTCCTTCTGCTGCTGCTGCTGCTGCCGATGGTGGAGGTGGTTTGATGATGACGGAACAGAACAAGTGCATAGTAGTGCCGTGATGTGCTTTGTACATGTTTGTGACAGTAAATTTCATGTCGTGGACATACACGCAGCCATTTCATTTCTGAAATCCGCTTCGCCTCAGCTCCCGGCATGACCTCTGAGCCGCCGGAAGCTCAGACGGAAGCTCAGACGGACTTCGGGCGCGGGGACGGTGAGCTTTGCTGTCTGCCAGGCATTCCCAGCTTATGGTCAGCATCAAGCACGGCTTCATCCATGTCGACATTGACCGCCGCCAGCCGGCTTCGATTCGTGCGAGAACAATGTCACCTCGCCGAACCGATCGATCCATGAAGGTACAGCAGGAGGACGCTGGGGCCGGGGTGAGTTGTGCACCGTGACTCTGCTGTCCCACACAGAAGGAGTCGGAGTGGCTTCGCCAAGCGCGGGAGTTGAGTCGGACGGTGGCGAGCCCGCCCTTGACTCCGGAGGAGAGGCGCCTGAACTCGGCGCTTCGGGGCCTCGTGCGGCGCCACGCGCGGGCGCTGAAGTGCGGTGGAGTGGGGCTTCACCTCTCGGATCTGGGTAAGCTGAGCAGAGACGACCGGGAGTGGCAGGCCGTGGTGGGCAGTCCCATGTCCAAGGACCTGGTGGCGAGGGTGGTGAGGCCAGGAGACGTTGAACTCCAGTTCAATTCGGAGAGTCACAAGGAGGTGATAATCTTGAAGTATAGAATCTAGGATCGTAGGTATGCCGGGCAAGGTGCAATGCACCGTTTTGCAGATAGTGTGCCATTCCATGCAAGCCAATAATCCTGCAATGAGATGGCGACACGGGAAGAGCGTCATGCAGTAGAATAGTGTGGAAAGTGTAAGCAGCCCACGCACTGCTGTCATAGTAGTCTTTACATGTTTCTGTGTTGTTCCCCGTCGTGTGCAGCAGGCAGTGCAGGATGTCTTGTCAAGGTCGCTGAGCGCCTTGAACAAACCAGGGTGTCAGTGCAGTGCTCTGTTTGCAGGCAGTGTGCTCTGTGCAAGCTGAAGCCTTGTACACAAGCCTGCCATTCATTTCCCTTCTCTGCCAAGAGGGAATATGGACGTTCTTTTTGACGTGGGCGATTACTGTGCTGTTTGGACAAAAGATTGAGCTGGCATCTTGCTGAGCACCCTGAGCGCCCTGAACTCCGAGATCCTCACCCACGTGCTAGCGAAAGGCGGCCGGGTTCTCATCTTGGCGCTCAATGCCCTCACATCCAGCGGTTCGGCCCGCGAGGCCCCGAGGGCTCGGGGAAAACCCCCCCTGCGGCATTGTTTTGTCGGCCCCGAAGGCACCGCAGAAAAGTTCTTCGCCCTTGCAGGTCCAGGATGCCTCGGTCTTGTGCATACAGGACGTTTGCTACAGTGCGTTTTCAGCGCTTCGCGTGCTTGTCGGACATCTTAGAGATGGAGTTCCGATGAAATTAAGCCAGAACAGAGGAGATGATTCTTCACCATCCGGCTTGCGTGGCAGACTATGCGGAGGCGGCGCGCTGACCCATTACCTGAATTTATGGCAGGGATTGTTGAGGCATGGAAGGAGGATTGTTTGCCAACAGTTTCTTGCTAGGGACGCAATGGAATGAGTTCTGTGCTCCCGTTCTGCTGCCACAAGAGCCCCGGACTTCAGAGTCTTTAGAGCTTGAAAGCTGTGACGCCTCAAGCAGGTCGTGGCCTCCAAGTTCTTTGAGGTCTCTGGGCGCGCTGGCCCGGATCGCAAGCTGACCGTGGGCCTTGCGCGTCCCCCGGCCGCAGCTCTTCTGTGTCGTCCTAGCGGAGTCCAGGGCCTTTTGTCATCCAGTCGGCTCAGGAACTGAACCTTCGTGACTCTAAATTTTGCTCTGCCTCTGTGGGCTGTGAGATGTGGTCCTTTGTAGCAGCTTCGGGATGTGTGCTCTCGGCAAGAGAGACATGCATCTTTAAAAAACTGAACGGAACCATGCTCTAAATAGGATGAGCACATCTGAGCACGCTTCCTTGAGCAAGTCCAATAAAATCCAAGTGCCAGGATGTTGTTCCTGATTCTACCGCGATACCACTGCTGATACGCATACCGCTGCCTTGACCTGCTCAAGCAGGAATAGCAGATTGCTACAAGCAACCACGATGGTACCCCTCGTAACCGTTATCAGGGTCAACACTACCGGAAAGAATGACGGCAGCGGTGATGCTGCCGGGGTCAACGGCGTCAGGATCAAACGGCAAGGCTAATGTATAATATGATGACACTGCCGATGCTGCAGCTGGTAATGGTAGCAGTGTCGGAAATCTTGGTAGTTAGACGGATCGAATCGCCAGCGCGAACCGTCAAGACAGCCCGTTGCTCCTTCGAATGCGCCTCCTGAGCCTTCCCGACAAAGGAGCTCTAGACCATCTCTTGGCCTCCATCGAGCCACTGAGAGCTTTGGAGATCCTGCTGCCGCAGGCGGGAAGACACCATGCCTCCATAACTGCCACTGACTTTGCGCAAGGCTGGAACAGCCTGAAAACCTTAGACTCGCATGTGCACCCCCCTGAACACTAAACGGCCCTGAACCATAAGCTGCAAGCTTTTATGCGGCATGCAGCCAGCCGGTTTCGCTCAAGGTGAGCAGACCGACCTTGTGCATATTCGCTACATGACTCTATTAGCCTTCACCAATCCATCTTCCGAACTGCGATCGTCAAGCATAGTAAGGCATAGTAGTGATGAAAAAGGTGTACATACATGCATACATTGTGCATGCATGCGTAACATACCAACCTAAATTATATAAGCGTTTCTTCGTAGACAGATGCTTAAATATTAAAGCTTTGGGGTTGACGCTTTCGGAGGGGTGAAGTTGAAATCTCCAGCAACACGAAGAGAAAGTATGTCGAGGTGGGAGAAGGTTCAAACAAGGCAGAACAGGCTTTCAAGAGACTGCTCCAAGTTCTGGAAAAAAACGCAGTGATCCAATGGCGATCCCCTCAACCCTCAACCCTAAGAAACCAAGACTTCTTATACCTTTAAGGTCTACCATAGCTCAGTCACTGCAAACTATCGCAAGCTTGAAAGTCCTCCCAAGTCCCGGCTGAGGTCTCCCAGAACTTCGATCTGCTTTGTGCGGCGCTGCGAAGGCTCCGACCGGAGCGCCACGGCTTCAGTCGGGGTTAACGTGACGCTAGGTGTGGGGAGTCTCAGACAAAGGGGATTCCAAGACACTTCCCCATCAGAGAGGGTGTTGAGGGGCCTTCGGGCTCACAGCTGCCCTGCTGCAAACTCGACTTGAACCAGAACCCCGTCCTTACGGGCATCCCCAGACCATAATAGTCAATCTTTGAAGCCAGCATCCCAGCTCAGGCAGATTCTCGAGCACCTGGACGTCATCGTCGCGCCCATCGTGGCTGCGGCAGAGACCGACTCTGCGGAGATGCGCCGCCTGGCCAAGCGAAGTCACGGCTGTGGAGAGTTTTTTTTTGTATCTTTGTATCTTCGTAAAAATGCCCGGGACCAGGTAAGGCGGCCATCTTCAGCCTGGTGGACCTATATTTGATCATGGGAGAGGACGGAGTTCTTGCTTCAAAGTCTACGACATTGTGCTGTTTTGATCTGCTGGCACACTGACAGGATGTTATGAGCTACTTCCGCCAGGTGACTCCGACCCACTTTGAGCTTTTGACATCCCGTGAGTAAAGTCAGCCATGCCGCGGAGCAGGAGCTTTCTCCCAGCCAGCTCAAGTTAGTGACACTGCTCCTCGGACGAATCTGAATCAGTTTCAAGGGTTGGGTTGGTGTTCCGGAGTCCTAGATGTGATGTTCGCGCTGGGGCACATGGGGGTGATCCTGCATGGTCCGGCCGAAGGTCAGTTCCCACACCGAAGCACCAATCCTGAAGCTCCGTCAAGGTATGCCGAGCGGCAGCAGTGCGACAGCAGAGGGGCCACAGTCGAAGCAGACTGACTCCGGCTGCTGAGTTAACGTACTCAAATCGAATTCGAGCAGATTCTTTCTGCTTGGAGATTTAGTGGATCTTCGCGGGCTGCTGGAATTGCCGACATTCCCCGCTTCACATTTAGGAATGGGACGACAATCTTCTCATTCGATGCTCCAGCTCTAGCTGTTCAACGTCTCAACAGTTCAGCTTGCAAGATAATTCGGCACCGGACCCTGGGCATGTCTGAGTAGCTTTGGTAAGGCTTGGTACTGTCACAGCTACACAGAAATCCTGTCGTGACCACAAAGCACATTCGCCTGGTGTTGCAGCATGGCTTGCCTCTTTCGCACCACGGCTTTTCGCCTTGATGCGAACACGGCCGGAAGATTCGAAACGTGAGAAGCTTTAGGCTACCTTCTAGTTCGTCCATATTTGAGAGGCCTGCCTTTTGTACTTGTTGTCGGGACTGTGTAAGAAGTGCCACTTTCCATGGCGTGATTGCAGTGCTCCGAAGCCACCAGAGACGCCAGATTCTTGAAGCATCCCCCCAGCGAGATCGATCATGCCAGGGTCACTCCATGCCAACAGCGCATTCATAGGTGACTCTCCGGAATCCTTAATGCGCCTCAAACCCTAGACAAACAGAGCACTTGAGGCTCGCAAAAGCTCGCCTCTAGCGGTTGAAGCCCGCCGTTCTGATGGAAGCTCGTGTGGAGTTCCTGACATGACAGACGGCATGATGCTGAGATATCCCGTGCTGCAGAGTGCAGCTGCATTCGGCTTCGTGACAACTTCGCAGCATCACGAGCGTCACGCACCTCGTGTTTTGTGGAGCTGAGGAGATGGCGATGCCAAGCGGCGGCGGGTTGCCCCAAGGACGGGGCGCCCAAGACCCTACCGTTTCCGAGTCATGGAGAGATCGGGAGGGAAAAGCCCGCAGGCTGCCGCGCTTCAGTGGCGCCCCACGGTCCTCGGTGGCGGTGGCGCTGCGGGAAGCAGGCGGCACATGGCACGAGGTGGGCCTGCGCTCCCATTGAGTTTCCCTCCTCGCTGAGCTACGTTAGGCCCTGTATAGGCCCTTTGGTGCCATCTGGCGAGGCCCTGTGCTTCGCAGAGTCTCCGGCGCTGTCAGCGCCTGGGTCTGGCTGAGGGCCTCGAGAGCTGTACATTTTTGTATGTCTGGTGAGAGTCTACAGCAAAACAACGAGCCCTTGCCGCCTCAAGGTGCCTGGGGTGAGGCTGGCGCGCGCGGTTTCTGCTGGGACGCTGCTCTGCCGAGTGCCCTCCCGACTTCACTTCTCCAGGCGCGGCTGGATACGCTTGAGCTTGAGCCTGGCGCATGAGCCGTAGCTGTAGCATGGCAGTGCCATAGCAGTGATGAACCCACAACGCCTTCTGCCCGCGCTGGTACTCTGTGTTTTAGACTGCAGCATCGCAGGCCGCAGTGCCAGGCTGCAGCGCCTGCCATTTATGCTGGCTGTGAGGTGGGAGGGGGGCCATGGCCATCTCCCGCGTTGTGAGCCTAGCAGGCGAGCAGGAAGAGCACTCACACGATTCCTGAAGGCGCTACCAAGTGCGGACCCAGAGAAGTCGCCCGGCTGCAATACCGAAGGCATCCGCAGGCCAAGCCTGAAAGCTGAAATCTGAACCAGTTTTCAAAGGGCTAGGCCATGCTAGGCCCCGTGGTCCAAGGCGAGGCGAGGCAGCTGATGCGCTTTGTAGCAGGGCAGCATCGAAGAATGGTTGCCTCATGTAGCGAATGCGCTTCTTCGAGCTTGAGATGCTGCTGGCAGTTCGAATGCCAAGGCATGGCCTTGCTGCTCTCCTCGCAGCGTTCAGGCAGGATGTCATCGGAATCTGGAACACCGGGTGGAGAAGGGTTGGCTCCAATCCAATCCGTTTCTGTTCTCTTCCGTTGGATCCATTCCTCTCCGAGTCTTCGTCTTCCTTTGCTCCCTTTCCGCCTTGCCCCGAGGTGTTTCCTCCCGTCCAAGTTCAGTTCCCTTCACTGTCCATGCTTCTTAGAGGCAAGATCCCAGGTCTGAAAGCTGCAGTTCCAGCAGCCCTTCATGTGGCGAACTACGACATATCTATGGGCCTAGCTCCTTCGCGACAGGAGCTGTTCTTTTTTTCGATGCAGAAGTCTGACGGTGAGACCCACGACAGGCAAAGCCGGGCAAGCGAGAGATGCCAAGGCGCAGTGACGCCGTTTAGACCTCGCAGCCCCTTTGCGTAGCTTGTCGATTTTGCTCGAGGCTTCAGGTGAGGAATGGCCGGCTCTGTGGCGGGCGTTGGCTTCAGTGCTGCTGGGATTCGGCAAGGAGATTCGGAGCTGCGCCTGCGTCGGGGTCTCGTTGTGGCTGCTCGCGGTGGCGCGCCAGGACTTCGAGGAGCAGAAGCACCCGTACACATCGGCCTGGCAGGGCTGCGTGAAAAGTGACCACTCCTCGGCCGAGCCAGAGCCTTGTCATTGTCGTGGTCGCGTGGGACGTGCGGGACGCGGGGTGAAAGCCGTGACAGCGATTGAGGAGCTTCTTGCAGCACAGGCGCAGTACGTGAGGACTTTCAGACAGGGTTCGACGGTTCGACTCGTCCAACAATTTCTTCCCTGATGCGCAACTGGCAGTGCAGGACAGTCTACAGCTGCATTTGTGACACTTTGAGCTCGGAACATCTTCGACACCTGGACGAAGGCAATTTGACTTTCAGTGACCAGTGTGCCGCGACTGAAACCTGCAATCCAGAGTGACCCCCCGTTCGACTCACACAAAGAGAGAGTCGTCCATGCTGTCACATGACGATCTCTCGAAGTGGCATAGGTGGCAGCATCCCTTCGGCTCGCACAGACAGAGGAAGGATGCTTACGGTAGATCGTTCGTTATCGCGTTTGACCGTCGCACGCACACGTCAGGCAAGACCATGTGTCCAGTTCCGCTACTGCCATTAAGATGTTTCTGCCGTGCTGCGTTTGTTGATGGGATCTTGTCCTGGAGTCGCGGAGGCCTCTTTTTACTGTCCTGGCTTTGCCTGCTGACGCGGCGGTTTGGTGGGCCACACGGCTCTGCGTTGGTCCCAGGTGGGAGGCACCTTTATTGTGTCGTCCTACAGAGAGTCTAGCTCTCTCGCAAAGGATGTCGCTTCTGATTGCACTCAGCTGCAGCCCATAACTAAACGCAGAAGCTGTGAGTCCATAAAGCATCTCAAAACGACGACTCTTGAATTGGAAGGCGTGGACTTCTTCAACCACTCTGCCACACCCACTGCATCCAGCGACTGGGACGAGGCCTCTCTGCTGCTTTTCCAGTCGGGCTGCAGTAAGACTGAGGTCAGTTGTCCAGTGGTACAGCGTTTATCGACGCACCCTAAACGAAGTGCCGAGTGAACTGACACAACATGACGCTACTCCGCTAATCGCAGACGCTCACAGAGGCCCGGATGGCCTGTCAAGCTGACCTCCGCTCCGAGGCGTCGGGTTCCGTGGAGGTCCGGGCGCTCACCGACTTGAGCGCCGGCACCGGCCTGAGACTCCACAGCTGGAGCGGGGAAAGACAGCTCAACATACAAGATTAAGACATTCACAAGACTGACACCCTCTCACTGCCAGTCGCTGCTACGACAGCTACTGCTAGTCCTCTGCAATGTCTATTTTTACTGCTACTGTTACAGCTGGAACTGTGAACCTATAAAGACGACGACTCCTACTACTATTACTACTACGACTACTACTACTGCTACTACTACTACTACTACTACTACTACTACTAGTACTACTAGTACTACTACTACTACTACTACTACTACTACTACTATTACTACTGCTACTGCTGACAGCTATCTCCACTGTTGATGCTGCTGCTGCTGCTGCTGCTGCTGCTGCTGCTGCTGCTGCTACTGCAAGTGCTACTGCTACAACTACTGTGGCGACGACGCTTACTGCTGCTGGCTACTGCTCTACTGCTACTGCTGCTGTTGCTACTACTACGACGAC